ATCATCTAGTATTTATCGCATCGCCAATAGCATCGACAGAAATGATCCCGAAGCATTTATGATCTAAAGAATTATTTTTGCGTTACAGAATTTAAAATCTCTGTTTTTAATATTGAAAAAAATGTTTTGTCGTATAGATGGAGTTTCTATGTATAAATCTTACACTTGTAAAAGATTGCAAGGATAAATCCACCATCTTTCCAGCTGTAAGTGTCAACTGTTTTTGCGATATTAACATGATAAATAACAGGGCACGACTATCTTTAGTTTTCATGTCATACCACGCAGAGTTGTACGCCGCAAAACCAATTTCTTTGTTCTATAAAAATGGAAATAATAGAGAAATTTTTGATGTTTTGGTATTCTTTACAATATTTTTTTTTAATTAGATGAAATATTATTTATCATTAACAATTATTACGACAATTATTAGTATTTTATTATAAATATTACTTTATTGCTAACCTTGTTCTTCAGGTATTCTCCAGCAAAGCAAAATATATACACTTCGAGATTTGTTATAGCGAAAAAGAAAAAAGATCTCACTATTTGCTTCGTCGCATTAGGGCTGCCGATTGTCTGCGACATTGCATAACAACGATGTGCGAAAAATTATTAAATATAAAGTTAGTATATAATAAATATATAGTATACATGTATATCATTAAAAATAATATATTTAATTATTATGTCATATTAGTTATTATATATTAGTTATTATATTATATTAGTTATTGTATTAATTGTTATATGCGTATATAAATTAATAACTCTTTAGGATACTTGCATGTAATAAAATGTGAATAAAATTAATAAAAGCATAATTTAGATAGCTGAAGTAAAGTTGAATATTAAAGGGTAAATGGAGATTTAATATTATCATATTATTCGCAATTATATTAGAGAAATACTATATAAGTTTACATTTAAAATAATCTTACTCACTGTTACGACAAGGAAAGCTAGTGTACAGATCATTAACGTGTTTGACACAAATTGCACCAGCGCAATATATGTATAAAGGCTTTCTATATTCTTCGAAAAACATATAATCTTTTTGTGCTTTTCAATAATTTTAGTCGTTGCGGCAGCGAGTGATTCACCTTTACTCGAATTTCCGGAGGGTGTGAGCTGCGTTAACCAATAACGCAAAATATTGATTTGGCCGGCTGTATGTAAGGTCTAAAAATAAAGATCCTATTGTTTAGTTGCCTATGAAATAATCGAAATCCGTAACTGGTTTGTATTCAAGCGGTGCAAAAGGATGCGGAATGGTATTATTAAAATATACGGAAATAGTAAATCGGGTAACATAGATAATTTAACCCAAATTTTAGATCTATTGTGCTGGGCTTTTAAAATGCATACAATATAGTTACTGTATAAATAAAATTTCAAAATTATTGTTCAAATTAAGTTTTTGAGCTTGAATATCGTTTGTACATCCTCAACTTACCAGAATTAATAACAAGGAATTCGTTGTACCAGACGACCAGGCCATCATGAATATAAAACACAATTCTGTTAGTAAAATAAATCTATATGTGCGTTGCGTGTTTACATCGAAAGGAACTTCTATCTTAGTGAGGAAGATTAAGTCCGTCGTGTTACTGGTGACATCGACATTGGCCAGGATGACACCGATACTGAAGCTAACAACTGACATTGTATGAAGGATGAGGATAATTTTTGTAATACGTTCCGACGTTTTAGCTTTGCTTGCTGTCTTGCGCATGCTGATATCGTCATTAGCACAGTCACTCCAATCTTTCTTCATTATTGTTAGCACCTCGATAAATTTTCTGTGGATGATGGTGCTTACCTATTATATTATCGGTCTTAGAGTAATCTTAATTTTCACGCTGTAAACATTCATCTTTTTGGACATTTGTTATTTCCAAATGTCATATATGTAAACCAAACTTTCACATAATTCAACCAAAAAGTTTAATGGGATACTTTTGTAAATTGTTCCCAATTTTGTGTATATACACGTTACTTACGGCTGATTTAACCAAAGCACAAGGCA